TCGACGGAATTAATCGAGGGAAGAAAATCAGTGGCATAGATATGAAATTTCCAGGACAAGGGCAATCGTGAGGTTCTTGACAAAAGGGAATAAGTCGATTGTTAATTGTAAACTGAAGGATTGGAGAAGGGAACTGGATCCAAACACAATAGCCTGGGACTTTTCTACCTTCATGATAAGCCTATTTTCAACGGTCCAAGGCTAATTGAGTTTAAGCCCTCCTGAAGTCGGGTAAGTCAGTCGGGCAAGGAAAGTTACTAAACAATAGATTTTTCGATTATATTAATAATCAATCTTTTCATTAAATATACCTGTATTAATACTACCGCTCTACTGTTATCAGATTCAGTAAAATTTTGGCAGGATGGATAAAAAAATCTCTCTTGTACGGAGCAATTACAGGTAATTGTAATTCACAAATGGTTAAGAAAATTTGGTACATTTCTTCATTTTTGATACATTCGCAGAACAGAAGAAATATATTGTCTATATAATTAGTAACGATGTAGTTATCGACCAGCAGTTGATAATTCTAGATATGGATCACGGATGAGGTCCAATGAATTGGGGTTTGTTGAAACCTTGAATTACTCAAACACGTTTCGGCACTGCGCCTTCTTCAGGCAGTTGCTCACTGAATATGGAGCAATGCTACGGCATTGCTGCGCATTTACGTAAATCTTAGACCTACACACAAACACCCACCATTGGACCACATCCCTGATCCACTTTTTATATAAATTTGTCATTTGCTTAACTAAAGAAAAAGGGATTTAGCCATTACCGATCATTTTGTTCTACCTTGGTCGGTCAGGCGCGTTTCGACATTTCAAAGTTGATTTCACCAAAAATAATTAATTTTTAATCTAGTTTTCGATTAGTTTCGTCGCTGTTTAGCTATCACAAAATTTCTTTTGGTTTCCACCATCTCAATTGGCTGTTTTCCGTGTCAGAATTGCCTTTGTACACAACAAACACATTTCCGCATCTGAAAAGCCAAATCTACTGATAGAAGATGTGAAGATACTCAAACTCGTTAACAAATAAATTACAGATTCAACAACTCACAGGAAACACGGAGAAATATTTCTCCCAAAATATAATAATAATAATAATAAAGCTACCTTAAAGAGCGATTCTATTTTTTTTTAAATCAGTGGCCAAAAGACCAATAATTTTAAGACGCAATTTTCATCTTATTCGATTTACAGATTAACAATAAATGTACTTTAAAACTGTAAGCAATCTCGATAAATAAGAAAGAACAAGCTGAACTAACGAATTTTTACTTTGTCATTGAGTTACGATTTAATAATTTCAGTAAGATGAAATATTATTTACAATGAACAAGCCTCAAAATTTAAAATGAAAAAAATCCAATATATATTAAATTAATGAAGATTATTTTTCCAGGTAAAAATTACTATATACTAAGCTAGTTCAGCTAAAATTAATATTTTTAGATCGATACGAAAAGCAGCTTCTGATTTGGATAAATTTTAATAATAATAATCTTTTAATATATTATAAGGCAAAATTTTCAAAACATTTGTACTAAAAGTAAAAACTGGCATAAAAAAATCTTCCAAAAATCTTTAAACAAGTATCCAATAATAATATAATCTAGGTTTTATTTTGTTTTTAATTTTATTTTACTTCTTTGCATTTATCTAGGTATGTTATGTATTTTTTTCGACAAACTTATGAAGATAATATTCTCTTGGTTGTTATCAGAGATGTGGTCAAGGAAAATAATTGTAATGTTAAATCTTCGCCTAGCGTTCAGAACTTTATTTGTACATTCTTCAGGGCTTGATTTTTAGTCAGAAGTGTATAAACTTAAATTCTTTTATTTTCATGTTAACACCGAAAATCTTTTCACTTTTTTCTTCACCTTCTCAACTATAAAATAAGAAAACTTGTTGTTTTCATTTTTACTTATTACCGTCTGTGATATTATATAAAACTAGTCTAGTCATTTCATAGTTGAAAAGGTGTAGGAAAAAGTGAAAAGGTTTTCAGTATTAATATGAAAATAAAAGAACTTAGGTTTATACACTTCTGACTAAAAATCAAGCCCTGAAGAAGTCACAATAAAGTTCCGAAAGCTAGGCGAAAATTAAAAATTGAAAATATTTTCTTTGACCATCCCTGCTAAAAACCAAGAGAACGTTTTTCAATTATGAACATTCATGACTTTTTTATTGCTCAAATGAGCTTCGGTTTTACTTGTGATATTGTTATTTAACTACCATATTTCTTTCAATAATCAAATAAACACTCCAACGTAAAAATGTTGAAATTTAGAAATATATCACAGCCAAAGTTGTTTTGGTAATTTATTTTCGAACTTTAAATGTCTTAATATAATTATTACAGATATAAAACCTTATTTGTTAACAAATTTATAATTACCAAACGTAGTTTTAACAAAACAATAAAAAGGAAGCAAATAAAATTTATAGAACCAAAGAAAATACGTATTATTTGTTATAAATTCTTCGACCAAAAGGAAAAACCCTTTAATTATTATGTGAAAACACTAGAAAACATCAACAAAATAGATTTCACAATTAGTATACATCTTAGAAAACAACATTCAAATACTTGTTAATAATTTTTATTAGTCATAATTATTCGTCCAAAAGGGGAAACCCTTTGTGGAATAGTTGTGAAAATCGTACAACACATTCCATAAGTTTTATACATCAGCAAAGTAAACGTTAGTAAGTACGTAATGTACTTCTTAGGTAAGTATATTCCAATCTTAATAAAAACTTTTATTTGTCATAATTGTTCGGCCAAAAGGAGAAACCCCTTGTTTAACCTGTGATAGTCTTACAGGACATAGCATAAAGTTGTCCATTTTTACAAGGAAAAAATTTCTAGTCTATGTTCTAGTTTTATTAAATCCATGCTACATATGAGTAGGGAAGTCTTATTACTTTCACTAACGCTAATGTCTTTCGAAAGAAAACGTGAATAATAACCACATAAAAAAATTCCTTCCAACACACAATATTTAAAAAAATAGTTTTTTCTAATTTTCTCAAATTCTAAGATAATGTTCTTGCAATTTTCTTTAATTGATTGATGTTCGCACCACTTTATTGATAAAGTAAGTATTGGACTGCTTGTTTAATCTTTCCATATTATAATATTTTCGTCCCATTCCTTTCAAAGCTTTTTAGGGTTTGGTTGAGTTTAATCTATTTTTGCTTTAAAGCTTGAATCGTCTTCGTAAATTAACTTTAACTATCAAGATGGTTTTAATTTTTCAATTTTTACTTTATACACAAAAGCAATGATAACAGAACGTGAAATCCACACAACTTCGCATAGCCGGTATGTGACAATTGTAAACCGATTCCTCACACCGAAATATAAGTATTTTGAAAAGCGGGGCTTATCAGCCCAAAGGGGCCGATAAATATCTTGAGCACTGCAGCGTACCAGTAGTCGAGGGGATTTTAATGCCCCGAGAGACCATCAAATCAATAGGATCGAAAACACATACTGTCTGTTTCCGACTTAAGTGGTCCTAGCATGTTTTACTGTAATCCAATCAGAACAACCCGGAATCTCCTACGAAATAAAACTAGGAAGGATTAAAAGCTTGATTTTTATAAGGACTAGTAATAGTTTAAAATTTACTATATTAATAAAAGATTGGTGCCACTTGTTAATTTGTCTCGAAAGTCTTTATAGAAAAGAATATTTCTCAATGAACTTTTTGTTGTATGTTTTTGTTTTTTCATTAATTCGCTTTTAAATTTATGATATACGAGTAAAACATGTGTATGTTTTATTGTAATTTAGAAGGTTGTCACTAGGGAGACAAAGGTCGAAAATTATTTGAAAAGTAAAAAAACAGCCTTCAAGAATGTTATAGCAAAGTTTCAAAACCTAGGGATCTAACAAGATCATAAGAGGGGGTAAACAATCGTAAGAAACCCCGTCATAAAAACCTCAGCGGTAACCTGATATTATCACGTATCGTAAAATCTGTTGATCATCATCATCCAATGTTTAAGGAAGACTATTTCCTGATTGAATCTCCTGATTTGTGAGATTCTGCGAACTATGTTGTATTTTCTAAATGATACGTATAATAAATCAAACAAACTACGAATAAGCAATGTTAAAAAGAAAAAATAAACATTGCCGATTAAGAACTCATAAGTGATATATCTATAAGAAACGTATGTACAGTGATTAAAGCAGTTTATTTTTGTTGAAATTTTATAATTTTGCTATAAACTCCTGGAAGGATATTTTTTTAACAATATTGTCCATATTTTTAGCACTATTTAGCAACCCAACTTTGTACATTTAAAATGTGAAAAGGTGGCGTTAATCCTTGGTCTGAAATTTGATAAACAAAAAGTTTGTTTGATTGACGGTCCACCGAATCCATCTAAACCAAGAACATCACTGAATTGTTCTTTTTTAAAGGTTTTTAGAATGTCTAAATCTAATGATAAAGTGATTTTTGTGAGTTATTTTATTTATTACGAACAATTTATAGTTTTTTTTCCAAGTATTTTAAAGAGATTTCAAAACAAGGTTTTCTCTTTTTAGGTCATTCTAATGTTCAACGATACGTATAATGTTTTCACTTATCGTCATCGAAGATTACGGTGAAGTCGCTACTATCTACTATGTTGCGTGTTGACTGTACGTTACAGAATAACTAAGTTTGTAACCAATGAACTTCTACACTACATTCATGCTCGTTGCAACAATGCCCATCGTGGTACGCTAATCGTTTCGAACCCAACATGCACCAATGTAAGTGTTTAATGTAAATGAGGCAATCGGGAACACGGGTACCTTACAGCGGAGGTTCAAGGAGCCGTTGTGTCCCCAAGACCAAGGATTTTTACTTGCTGGTTTAAGCCGACCCGGAATGGTAAACCTCGTGTTCAGGTCGTCTACCGAAAGGAATGACTGGCACGGGGGTGCAGAGGATTGTGGTGTGGTTGGGAGTTGTAGGTTACCTGTTGTGTATTGACGGCCGGTGGGCCGCAGCGCTACTGAACCACCAAATGAGGAAGACCCTACACCAGCGCATGCTCCCACCTTAGCTCAATACCCCCCACGATCATCATCACTACCTATTTATTTAATATACACACTAGCATTTTTCAATACGGATGCGCGGATATTTTCAGTGTATCCTCGTCCAGCTGTCCATCCAGACTGACCACGCATTCGTTAAGGACGTTATCTTTTTTTCAACTTTTGTTGGGTCCACGTTTATAAAATACTTTGTTATGTACACTCGACATCACTGAAAATCATTATTTTTCCTCAAAACTTATGTCATCACAAAAAAATAATAAATAATTGACAAAGCTCTCTTTATGTGAAAACACTACTATATGATTAAAACTAAGAAAATCATTGAAAAATCAGACAATTTCTTTGCACGATACTTGAGCTTAAAAAGGAAGTCGATGACATGGAATTTTTAAATTTATTATTTCAATACTTCTTATAAATAATATTTTTTTATCCTTTATGATTAATAATAATATTTTTAGTTTTATTTCAGGTTTAAATACACATGGAGATTATCCAGCCATAATTTTTGACTGGATAATCTTCGCATAATATTGAAATCTGAGATTATTTAACGTAGCTACAAACAACATCATCAATAATTTTTAGTTTTCACAAGAACCGTGGCTTCTTTCCACATTCCGTTAATTTTGCTGATCTGATCGTGAAATTTTACAATCTTAGAAAGGCAGGCTACAAACGTGGAATCACCAATTTTAATGAAAACCTTTTTGGTGATACTAAGTACAAAAAAATTACATACGATGCTGAGCATTCAGGCCAATTGGCTATAGGAGACAAGTAAATATTAAATAATTTAGGTGATTTCTTAAAAATATAATTTTCTGCCTTTGAGATGCATTTCCAAGTTATTATAATCAATCGATTCAATTTTGATCGTTTTGTAACTAGTTTAAAAAGATTTCAGGATCGTTCTAAATTAGGTAAGGTATATACAGGGTGAATTGCTACTCGTGCTACAAACTTCTCCAGTAGATTCTTCACCCTAAAATGAACAAAAAAGTTCATATTGTCCATGGTCCGATTCTCAACCATTTCAGAGTAATTTCGCTTTTTATCGATTTTGAAAGATATCACGTCCTGGCGTCGGAAAATCGTGATATCTTTTAATCTAAACATTTCTCTTAAAATCTATAAGCACCGTTGAAATCCCCGTTAATTTTTAGAGAGAATCAAAATCATAATTCCATTGAAATTTTTTAATTTAATTTAATGCCCATTTAGTATGTAATGCTTAAGAAGTTTACAAACAGCTAGAAGGTCAAGGAAGAAAGACCCAAACGTTTTGCCACCTTCATCTTCTTATTGAAAAATTAACGGGGATTTCAACGGTGCTTATAGATTTTAAGAGAAATGTTTAGATTAAAAGATATCACGATTTTCCGACGCCAGGACGTGATATCTTTCAAAATCGATAAAAAGCGAAATTACTCTGAAATGGTTGAGAATCGGACCATGGTCAATATGAACTTTTTTGTTCATTTTAGGGTCAAGAATCTACTGGTGAAGTTTGTAGCACGAGTAGCAAGTCACTCTCAAACATTAGCAATCCTTGAACCACCATTTTTTCTCTTTTTGTCATCAACATCTTGGTCTCACAACCACTAAATAAGAAAATGACGAGTGCGTTGGAAGCGTTATTAAATCAGGTAGTTTTCCTCAAATTTGCTGCCTTCTGAGACTAAAATTAGAAACTCTGGATTACTTTATACACTTTCCGATTTACACAATTTTCCACTCTTTTTGTAGTTCTGGCTGAAATAAAACACAAAAAATTAGCCCAAACATTTTGCCACCGTCATCTTCTTATTGAAAAATTAACGGGAATTTCAACGGTGCTATTAGATTTTCAGAGAAATGTTTAGATTAAAAGATATCACGATTTTCCGACGCCAGGACGTGATATCTTTCAAAATCGATAAAAAGCGAAATTACTCTGAAATGGTTGAGAATCGGACCATGGACAATATGAACTTTTTTGTTCATTTTAGGGTGAAGAATCTACTGGAGAAGTTTGTAGCACGAGTAGCAATTCACCCTGTATAAAGATACAAAAGCGAAAGTTCGCTTTCAGTAAAGCAGCCCGAAAAGATTGTATTTTTGGGGAAAAAACAACCGGATTCGTTTTAAGAACACTTTAAAGCTTTTGGATACAATGTTTTATAATAACAACAAAAATATACATGTATACGTCGTAGACCGACAGTGCGGTAGAAAGATACAGACTGATATCTCTGAGATCGAACATTCGTCAGGATTGGCTTTTCTTCCGGATCCGTTATTGGGACGATAAAAGGGTCATCAGATTTTCCACATTTCAAAACAAAGTTTATTGACTGTTTAAATTCTACAAATGTATCTAAGCCGAAAGTAGACCCCCCCCCCTACAAAGCTCGCTCATCCATAAAAAACTAACAAAGGTCTCGTCTCTGTTTTTTAAACCAACACCTGCCCCAAATCGAATCCAACTTCAACTCATCACTGGCTACTGATATGTGACTAACTCCAGACTGAAACCGACTCGTGACCAACTGACAAGTGTCATTGCGTAAAGATTATTATCCTATCTGTACTAAACTATTAAAATGCCGACCAAGTCGGAACTTTTAGGGATGGGGTACGAGTCTACCCAGGCATTTAACCCCTCGGGTCTTGGTCGTCCACCTTGCCTAATATAAAATGAAAGTCTAAGACGAATAAATACGTTTGGTGTCTTCCTTAGACAATTGAAAATCTCTTCCAAAGGAAAGCCTGAGAAATGCAAAATGGTGAAGCCAGTTGGTAGTAGCTGCCACGGGGAAGAAAGCCTTGCAAGGTTAACAAAAGGTAAGTGCTTCCGAAAATCTAGTCACTGGTCAGTCAGCAGTAGAGTGGAGTTGATTGATACTGGTCAATAGGCCTCGTGTCAGTTTAGTGTAGTCACTGGTCAGTGCCCAGTGATGAGTGGATGCTGGATTTTGCGTCGCGATCGTTATTGGTTGCAAAAACGGAAAATTGACGAGACCTTTGTTAAATTTTATGTATGAGCGATTGATTTTCATTTCCCCCTTCCGCATTTCACACTCTCTCTCTCTCTCTCTCTCTCTCTCTCGCTTCCTCTCTGTGTCTCTTTTCTCTTCCTTTTTTACCCATCTTCCGAAATTTATTATTTAGAAATGAATAATGAATTATATTTATACATACAAATGATAACAGAATAACTAGATTTCTAGATGTGAATTTTGAAGGTTGACTTTTATTGCACTCAGTAGGATACGGTAAACCCTGGTTTTAAAATTGCATAGATATGCGAGGGCGTGAAATGGTCTTAGCCTTTAAAACGGCCTAATAACACAGTCAGTGAGGAAATAATTTGTAAATAATTGATGAACCAGCACGCATGGCTTTCGTGTTTAGTTTTACACTTTACGTCACCTCATTCCAAGCAGGTTTTTCCCTTGATTCGTCAGTTCCCAGTCCATCTAATCCGCAGTATAATCGGAAGGCCAAATTTATTAATGTTAGATGGAGTGTTGTGCAACGTCAGGGGGTGTAGGACCTTCTAAAAATAAGCTACGACGCGAGTTAAGGGCATTAGGACAATCCGTATTTAAGATCGATACTCCTGTACCTTCAATTTTTGCAATTTTGGAAAGTAAGTTGAATATCAGTGATTTTTTTTTTTGACGTAGAAGTTTTCTGAAATTATTGCAAGCATTCATGTGAAAATATGTAGCGAAACTGACACATATTTTTTTCGTGGGTCAGGAAGTAGAAGGACTAAGGAGAAAATTCTTGCATTACTCTAAGTAAATTGTTAAATTGGTCAAAAATGACAAAGTTATGGCAAAACCGGCGGCGTGATTTCGACGAGGAGCTGCATATTTTTCTGTATGTTCGCAAAATTCGAATTCCTCTCAATGTTGGAAGGGCTTTAGGTTTTCAAAACATAAAATTAGAGATGTACTCCGGACTTACAATTTTAGGTGTATCGTTCTCATCTTGTCCGTGGACTTTGGGACTCTGATTATGATGACAGGCGTCTAACGTTCGTTGCACAAATGACGATTTGGGAGGCTGAAGAAATTGTTCTTCCACCATCCTTCGTACTGATGAATCCAAGTTCAGCTCTAATAGCAGAGTAAACCGTTGGAATTTTCGAACTTGGTCAAAGGAAAATCGGATGATTTTGTACTCTTGTGGTCGTTCACAGTATCAATGTTTGGTTTGGACTTCTTGGAAATAAATTAATTGAGCCTGACGTCTACGAAAATAGTAACTTCAGCTCAGTTCCTCAATTTTTTTAGGGAGGTTTTACCAACACTATAGATGATGTTCCTCTGCAACGACAAAGGATGATTCTCCAGGTTGCTGGATATTCCGCAAATAATTGTCAAATAATTCCAGGATGGGTGGATAGGACCTCATGGATCTGTTGGCATCCTCTATCACCCGATTTAACTCCCCTTGACTATTTTCTCTGAGGCCATTTAAAAAACAGTGTCTACGCCAATCATAACCCAGTAACCTCAGTTGAACAACTGCGGTAAAGGAAAGAAAATGCTTATCGATCCATCAAGTTTAAAAAGAGAAAATCTTAGCATCTTTATGCAAGGCAGATAGTTTGAACATGAAATTGTGAGTTTTTTTTCAATGTTTTTGCCCTAACTGTTATTTTTTGGCCAATTTAAAATCTGATTGCACCATTGTTTTCAGTATAAAAATCCTTTAAAATGATGTGAGGTTGTATAGGGTATTTGAAATTTTGAAGTTGAACTGGGCCTGAGGTACGTTGTATAATTTTTCTCCAAAAAAGGTGAAAATTTGAGACTAGAATGAAAAATATTAAACTCATATTTTTTTGATAGCGACATTGGTCCAAGATTCATTCAGCCGGGCCATCTAAAAAGGACACCCTGTATAAGAAAAATTCATCAATATCTTTTGTTCTAAAGTCAAACCA